TGAAAAGATGCTAGGAGTCTGAGACAAAATTACTTAATGAGTGTGCTGTGACTTGCTGAAAACCTTGCTTTTTTGGCAAAACTGGGCAAAACAGTATATGTAGCTCAAGTCCTCACTCTCTCTCTGGGTCTGAAGCCTCAGTTAGGATGAACCTGCACACGCCTCATGCACAGGGAGACTGAGCACTGAAAGCCAGTGACTGGAGCATCTGTGTGCCATTAAACAGAAATTGGGCTTTCTACATCTCCGATGTAGGAAGAATCATGAGAAGGGTAATGAATCTCAGATATATATTTTTCTGATCATTGATAATTGAAGTCTGAGTTGAGGATGGGAGAGTAAGATAATTTGTTATTCTAGTAGTCCGCATGGCATATTTTACGTGACTTGTGGAGAAGATATTAATTGCTTGGCCATCATTAGAAAGTCCTAAATTTCAAACTTATTTTTCACTATTTTAATAGAAAGTCAGTACCAAAGAGCCACAGACTTATTGTTCTTGCCTCAAAGTACAAAGGTATGTGAAGCAGAAAAAGCGCATTAAAGCATTCTAAGCAGACCAAAGATTAAGATAAAAAAGAGAAAAAAAAGAAGAATGCGTCATAAATATTTTCCCCATCCCCCGAGGGCTTAGAAAACTCATCTCTGGAAAGTCTGGATTATCAGTGTATGTTGATCAGTTGTTGGTATTTACGGCGCTTTCACACAAGATCTTCAGATGGAGATGGCCTCCCTCTCCTAAGTCCTGTTTTTTTGGCAAGGGGCTGAGCAGCTGCTGTCCCCAAGGCAAGCCAGGCCAAGGTGTCCCTTCCTGACAAAGCAGAGGGACAGTGCCATGCAGGGCTCTTGTGGGATGGCATTGGTTAGGGCAGGAACTGTAATATCACATTTCTCATATATGTCTTTTGGGCCACTTGTGTGAAATCTGTGGCAGCTGTCTAGCTTATCCTAGTGTCCAAACCACTGTATAATGGTATAGTAGATACATATACTATATAAGGAGTACTGCCCTCTGAGTTTTGGGTGAGTTCTTCGCTGGTGGAGCTGTGAGTCAAAGCAAAAAAAAAAACCAAAAAACAAAAAGCAGATACATCTGAGTTCAAAATTGACTTTTTTTGAATTGTTTTTAATTAAGCACTTCACTTTAATGCTTTTGGAGTAATACAATACTTTGAGAGATCAAAAATGCTTTTGCCCAGAAATACAAGTCAGTGTTTTGCACATGTTATTTTCAGATGTTAAAACTTGCATGTGTTTACACAATTATAAAAAAAAAGAGACTTAATTCTGTTAGTTACACTAGATGAAAAGAACACTGTAAAAGTTAAAGCCACAGATGTATATAGCAGTATAAAAATACTGTTACAGTCTAAGCATTTGCGAACGGGTAGATGCAGGTAGCTTAAGCCTCTCCTCTCAATGTGGATTAGTGATTCTGCTATCCAAGAAGCTTTGAAGTTCTACTTTGTGCTCCTGGCAGAACTAAAGAGGGGACATGGGGACATAGCTTTTTTTTTTTCAATCTAATTTGGTAAAAATCTATCTCTGTAAAATCCCTTTTTCTTTAAATGCCATGAGTTCATGTGATTCTTCCAAGGGGGAAGTCTCAGCTGCTGCTGGACCTTCCATAAGTGTCCCAACTTTGCAAGGAACCTAGAGCACCCAATAAGGCGGGTTAATGGTCTGCATTGTTTGGACTTTTCTACACTTCTACCAGTCAGCCCTGTGTAGATCCTGCCACTTCTCTGTGCAGACAGAGCAGCTTTGAACCCTTAGCAATTCCATCTGTTTTATTAGCTGTAACTTGTTAACTTCTAGTGACTTTTTGGTAAAGCATTATTTAACACAGTGATGACTCCATCAGAGATACCCCCTAACTGATTCTTTTAATTAAGTTTCAAGTTTTAGGGCTGTTTGGAAAGCATAATGCAATTACTTTCAAGCTCATTTATTGTTCCTTGAGATCCAGTCCTTCTCTTGGTTCCCGCATGAGAATAAAGGTTAAAAAGCTATTTAAGAAACAGTCTTCCTGAAATGCAAACTTTGTTTTCGCCTCAGCTCTGTCTGCATTTTTACTGCTGTTTTGATCCAAAATGACCTTGAAGACAGACTGCCCCCTCTCTCATATTTGTATAAACTTTTATTTTCAAAAAGGCAGCAGGA